ATGGATTGGTTGGTTGGTTGATTTTGTTTAGCAGCATATCAAATCTTATGGGCTATTTAATGCTGAAATCTAAATATTTTGTGCATAATTTTATACTTTCAGAGTAAATGTATGTTTTTTAGATATATAGTTTATAGATGATAGAATCTATTGTTGGTAATTTTAGCACAAAAATGTACTGTTGATAATTTTATATGAAAATGTATTGATCATTTTACTATAAAAATATGCTGTTGATTTTGTTTGAGGGTTGACTATTTGCTCATAGCTGGGATCCTAACAGGTGATACCACCGCAGGTCAGAATGTACCTGGGAACAACAGCAATTAGGTGGTGGTTCCATGCTCTTCAAAACCGCCAATCTCCCAACATATTGAAGGGACAAAGGAAACAGTACATAACCTTCCTAATATGATTTTGTAAATAGGAGATAGCCGAACAGTGTTTAGGAGAGATAGCAAAAAGACTAAAATTACTAAGAGCTACAAAGGGCAGGAAATTGTGGACAGTCATAATTGCCAATGTCCTGAAGGGATACGGCATACAGATAAAAAAGCTGCTTGTTGCTGTTCAACCCATCAGTCAATGAGCTGTATAACATATGTTGTATTCCACAAGAGTCACTAACAAGAATACTATTACTGACACTACAGCATCAACTACTGTCTTTTCTAGACCAAAGTATTTTGCTATTGGACTATAGAACTATAGATTTGCATTGCGTTATCTGCTCAGACAAGTTTCCTAGCTCTTTCAGGTAAATGGTTGAGTTTGGAAAAGACTGCATGAGGCTATTGACTCAGGTTGTTAGCAATGTGTTGTACAAGCTGGTGATGGCTCTGTTGGAGCTTGCAAAAATCACTATGAAATTGGAGTCTGTCTTGATAGTCGTGATATTCACAGATCTTACTGCAGTCATTTCCAACCCTATATCTTCCAGGTTTACTGGTGGTGATGGTTTATTCCAACATGAACAGGGGACATGAAATGGATATCAGAAACACTTGGCAGACTTCCAGCCCTGCACTAATGAGATTTAAATATGTTGTAGGGTTCACTAAATTTCTTTACCACCATAATTATCAGCACTGTACATGTGTTTATCAATTACATTTAGCTAATTGTTTTATTCAAATTGTTGTCTTCTGCCAGGATTGTGGGCCCAGCAAATGGTAGTCAAACACATTTTTCTTTATCAGATGTGCTTGGCTGATTCATACCTACATTCATTACTTATTGCATTGTTTAACTTTATTAATAACAGAAACAAAAAGTTATCATTCTTGACTAGATTTTACACAAAATTTACAAAGGGAGCTGCTGATGTCCTTCTATCATTACTCTATTGAAAGTGTGTTGGCATACTGCATCACTGTATACCAGTCACCTGACAGTGGACAAGAACAGTACTTATTATTTAAACAAATCTAAGATTATCAACAAAAAGGAAATCAAATTCAAAAGTGTTTTAAAAGCATCCACAATTTGCATGGGTAAATTTGATTGTATATATTTAGCTAACTCCAAAGAAAAGCAATACCTAAGGATTAAAATGCATTTTTAAAAATGAAAAAAACTTTCTTCAAGCTTTTAATTTCAAGCTAATAGATCAAGTTTAATATTGCCAATAAGCAAAATATTTTGCTGTATTTCAAATTGAATTTAAATTGATTAGAAGAATTTTTTATTTTTATCATCAGTAAAAGGGCTAAAATTGTCCATATTGACAAATATGTCAACGCAACATAATTATCTAAAAAATCTTTCAAAAATAAAATATACTTTTCTGAAACTTTATTTGAAGATTAGCTGATTTAAAGTTTAATTAATCAGATTTGAAACATGTTTTAATTTAAAATGCCACAGAAAAGCATTTTTTATCACTAAGGTGGATGTTTTTATAGGTTTTGACAACTTCTTGCTAGACTTGTTTGATGGATATAACTGTAACAGTTACTTGATGAATGTAATGTAAACACTTTTTTTATAATTATTTTAGTAATTATAATAATTTAAGAAAATATTCAAAGCAAGCTAATATTTTATTGAATTTTAGGTACTTGGACTTTATAGTTTAACTTACAAAGATGCTTGCTGTATTTACAAAAATTGACAAGTTTCTCAACTTGGTATCTATGCTGATGACAACTATTTACTTCTTTTTTAATCGTAAGTCTGATCAGTTTGATAAGGTCAAATTAGTAGCTGATCTAAAAAAATGACAAAGTCTTTTGTTAATTGGGGCAAGTAATGGCTTATTTCTAATGCCTCCAAAATGAAACTGCTCTCTTTTGCCTGAGAAAACCCATTTTGCCTTCCATCAACATGGCTGATACTAACCTTCAGATACATTGCACCTTCTCAAACTAATGTTTTCCACAAAAATGAAATAAAAAGATTATATTGAATCAATTGCTAGATCTGCTGCTAGGAAAGTTGGTTCACTGTATTGTGCTAGACAATTTTCCTCTCCAGCATCTATTTTACGTATAAGTCTACCATTTATCCAGTCTTTGAATATTGCTGCAATGTCTGGTCTGGTGCTCCTGCTATATATTTAGAGATTCTTGATACAATACAAAGAATCTGCAATGTTACTGGTCCTGACGTGGCATTTTGGCTTCAATTAATTTCCCACTGCCATAACATAGCTTCCCTGTGTCTTTTCTATAAATATTTTCATGGTAATTGTTCTGATGAACTTTCCTCCATGATAGACTTTATGAATTTAAGTGCAATACTAGATTGGCAACAAGGTCCCATCATTTTACAGTGGAAATGACTAGATATAACCATAAGTTCTATGCTAACAGTTTCTTCTATCACATTTCTTGCTTGTGGAACTCTCTTCCAGCTTTTTGCTCCCCAGTCAAGTTTGATCTTCAAAAATTTAAATGCAATGTCAATTGTTATGTACTCCTAAAAAAAAAAAAATACTTATGTTTGAGAATTCTTTAAAAGGTAGACATAAGTATAACAATTACTTGATGAATATAATGTGAACACCTTTTTTATATAATTTTTTTTTTAACTACCCACTAATCTTAAAAATTTAAGAAAATATCTTAAGTAATATTTTATTAAGTATGGCTTAATTGTCTAATTTATGAAGATGCTTTTTGAGGAAATGTTAGAAAATTACTAATAAATTTTAACATTATAGTTAGCACTATTATTTTTGGATGATGTTGCACCTATATTTACAAAAATCAACACCTTTATTTTTAAATATTGGGGATCATTGAATTATAGCGAGCTTTTCCATTTATAGTTTTTAATAACAACAACCTGACTGTGACGTATTAATACAGAATTTTTAAAATATTTCATTCTAAAATTTTAAGTAAATGAAAATAATTAGTGCAAAAATTCAGTAATCATTGAAAGTTTGTTTTTCTTAAAGACAACAGTGTCCATAAAGGCTTTTAATCAAATATAATAATGTCTTAGTTTTATTGCATTTTTTATTTTACGATTCAGAGCAGATTTTAAACTGGAAATCCTTTGTTGACCAAAATAATTTCATGATTTCAAATTCTCCGAGGACATGTCCTTATAACTAATATAAACATACATAAGTGTTGCAAAAAAAGAACTTTTCGAAGTTTCATAAAATTAAGTGGATGTTAACAAATGAAAACTAATGTTTTACAACGATTTCCTAAAAGAAACATTTGAAAAATGATTTATTTCATTTGTGAATAAGTTTTGTTCTGACTGTGTTATTAAAATCCGAGAATTATTTGATTTCTGCAAGAATTTCCAAATCAGTGTTTTTTTGCATCGCAAAAATACGCTTCTAAATATAAAATTTCCCAGATTAATTTTGATCACCACGTCGACGCAAGGAAAACAAAATTTGGAAGATTCTAACAATCTAACTACATAGGATCAAAAAATCCTTTGGTCTTTCTTAACAGTTTTTTGGCGATAAAACTCTAGTCTTTTATGCTCATTATTTAGCGAATCTTTGGTGATATCTCTACTTATTTATGAAAATAAATTTTAGATCTCATTTTTTTTGTTTAATACTTAGACTTAAGACTATTTTGAAATCGTTATTGGGGAATAAAATATACATTTTGTTTTTTTAATTTGTTGCTTTCAGTTTTTTTTAATATCCGCCTTTTTTTTTTATCCAGTTCCAGTCTATTCTCCTGTCGTCAAACTTCAACTAAACATTCGAAATGATATTAATATTTTTATATCCTGCTTGAAGAAATTAATTAGCATTGTAAAGAAAAAAAAACTAAAAGCATTACTTTGCAAAAAATAACTTTTTTTTATCAATATTTTTGGGTTGAAATAAAAGATATTTTTACTATATAATTCAAACATTTTAAGCTATTATTTGTGATCAATCGTGTGAAAAAGAAAAAAAAATCAATAAATTAATTTTAAAACATTAATAATGATTAAATGAAATGTCTGGGTTAATTTTAAAAACATCAAGTAACTGTTAAATACCAAAGTTAATTAAATTTTAATTTTCCTACAACAGTGTGATATTCACTGTATTATTATTAGCATTACAATTATTATTATTAATAGATATTTATTTTCTTGCTTGGTGTGCATTTTTCTTTATATAAGAAAAATCGATATTTTTTTCTTACAAATTATTAACCTAATAATACATTTATTAATTTTTCTTTAAGAAATCACTATCCTCACTTTATTCTTTCTTGAGACCTTAAGATCATCCCTGCTTTTTGGAGACTTTTTAAATATGCATGTGTTTTCTTTTCAGGTTATTTTTTTAACTCAATTTTGTTCTGAAGTTAATATAAAACTTAACCGCAACATTGAAGTTATTATTACGTTATGTATTTTTTAAGTTTTTTAACCCTTCGAGATTTGAATTTATTTTTAATATGTTCTGTAGTTTCAATATTCCAAAAGGAAAAATACTGATGAAAAATAAAAACCACGTAGATATATACTGCGATATTTTTTCATTGCAATACTGGTTTTAATTAGTTCTCAGGTCGGCAACTTACCTTGTACGATAACAACTCGCCAACATCCATCTTTACCGTACACGCATCTAGATCTACGCATGCGTCAAGTGATCACGTGTTTCAATTTGACCAATCGTTGCCTTTCAATGGCGACTCCGTCGAGAGGAGAGTGAAGTTGTTGACGAGCTCGTCACCTCTCCTAAATATCTAATTTTATTTTGGACATACAAGACTATTTCAGCCTATAGGTCATTTGGTTCGTGTGCAATAACTGAACAGCCGGCATATATATCGGTAAGTGATCACTTCGCAAAGGTATTTGATCGATTCTTTCTTTTTGTATTATTTTGCGAGATGGTAAAGCGTGAAGAAGAGATGAATACAATACAATGTGTTACAATTTTTAGTTATACTTTCGCTAAAGCCGGCATGGATCATTTTAACCCCATTTTTGCTATATCTATTCTTTTTAGTTACTATTTTCAGAAATGATTACAACATCGTTACTCTAATCTAGGAATTTCGCATTTAATTTATTCTAAATACTATTTTGTTTCTACGTTCGGTTAAAAAGTCGAAACCTAGTAACTTTTTAAAAACGCCGTGTGTTCAGTTAGTTAACTACTTAAAATAAAAAAGAAACAAAGTGATTTTTATTGTGCCCTTATAAAATACTTATTTCGCATTTATACATTTTGGAATAGGTAGATGCCGTTTAGAATTGTGCAAGTTTGTTTAATGTTTATTTTATTTGATTGAAAAGGGAAGGGGGCTGAAGAAAGAATTGTGTTCCAATCCATGATGAGATTTGATTTGAAGAGAAAGAAAGACGAGTTATCTCCCTTAGTTCAACACTCTTTTGTGTTTTTCCGACATTTTTTTTTAATTCCCTCAATTCTTATTGCACCACGTTTTTTTATACCATGTTTATTTTCGTCTGCTCTGTTTAATAATAACAACAATAAACTTTTCCCCTCCCTTTTTATTTGAATAGGATAAACTCTAAAAACTAATTTGAGCAACCCTTGCTAAATATATTTTTAGATTAGATTTTAAACCTCAACTAGTTTTTTCTTGTAAAAACTAAAAAAACAGTAGTGTTGTTTTATTCATGTGGTATTTAAACGATATAAAAAGTTTAAACTTGACATCTATATGCTATTTAGAATTTGTGAAAATTAATCTGATTATCTTGATGTTTAATTTTATAAACACTGTGAAGAAGAGGTACGATCCATGATTGATTATTTTATTTAAAAATCTGTTGTGTAACTCTCTCTCTCTCTAACAATGCAAGTAAAAGTTCCATCATTTATAAATCCAATTAGACCTGTTTGTTAAAAATGTATTGTAAAGGAATATTATTTTTTTTCTCTTTGAAAGAAAAATGCAATATTGAATTGTTACAAAAAAAAATGTATCTTCTTTTGAATTTCAGATTTTTTTTACTTCCTGCAAAAAAAGCAAAACGATTGATAAAACTTTTATTAATGCCAAATAAGCAGAATAAGTAATTCAACCCCTGTTCAGTAAAACGTAGTTGCTTTTTCGTTCATTTAAAAATGATCTTTTAACAGATGTTTATTATTTTATTCAAAACTTATTGTTAAATAAAAAACCATTAATAATGAGTACTTGTCAAGTGTAAAGAGGTTAGAAAATCAAATTCTCAGCCGAACTAAGCTTAGAAAAATTATGTTTTTCTAAAGAAATCATCATCGAAAATTTTCTTTCATACACAGATTTTTTTTCTTTTTAAAAATGCTTGCTTTCTCGCAATCTCATCATTTTTAAGTAGATTATATTCAATTTTTTTTAAATGTAAGGAGAAAAAATCGGAAAATAGTAGAAATAATAAAAAGCGAGGATTGTCATAAATTGTCAATAATGAAGACATGATCAGATTGAAAATATTTGAGCATAACCTGCTAGGTCAGACTTGGGATGCTTGAAATTTTGATGAAATATAAGTAACTTTTCAGGTGTGGGATGTACGTACCAGTTTTGTTTATTTCCGAGCAAAGGAAAAAGGTAGATTATCTCATCGAATCTTTCATTCATCATCATCACTGCCAATTAAAAATACAGAAGCAAAAAGCATATTGCATACCAAGTAAGCTCACTTGAAGACAATAGGGAGGAGTACTAATTCTACAATAGTTGTAAAACAAAATTTGTTAATTGGATTTTTATTTATTTTTTGTATAATTATTCTATAAACATTGCAGTTAACTCAGATGTACATTAAAAAAAAAGATTCTGGTTTTGCAAGTTTTTTTTAGTGGAAACATTTTTTGATAAAAGAAAAATGAAAACATTCTGTTTTATGCTCTAGTAAAAAAAAATGTACAGTTATATAACTAAAAATTCATCCATTTTTAAATTAAACAACGGAGTCACGATGTTGGAAATTTACTCTAAAAGACATTTGTAAATTAATAACTGATAAAAAGCAGAAAATAATTTCATTTGAAGAAATAACACACTGGAGTTTGTTTTTTTTTAAATTTGATAATGAATCTGAAAGTGAAATGTATTTGTTGTTTTTAAACATTTGAAACACAAATGTATAGAAAAAAAGATCAAACAACTTTTACTTACTGATGTAAAAATTCTGTGATTTATTTGTTATACATTTAATGCATTTATAAGAAATTTCTGTATGTAAAAAAAACTTTACAGTGACTTAATGAAACCACCACAAATGTTATCCATGCTCTCTGAAGAAGAATACAAAATAAAATTCAATTTTAAATTGGTTCATTCTCTCTACTGTTTGATTTCACTTTGATATGGTGGTTACTCATAAACATAAAAGAAAATGTTTGTTATGAGAATTGCTTTCAGAAGATGTAAATTTCAAATCCAACGTATTACCATAGATTTGTTGTCAGCAAGATGGCAATATTTTCATTTTCTGCATGATTCATAGCTTGAGTAGAAATTAACATATTGTGTGTTCAGTACAGTTGTATATTTGAAAGGAATTTTATCAATTTTTCTGTTGGAAAATGTATTTTCTATTAGTTTTCACAATGGGTGACAATTCCCAATTTGTTTATGAATTACTTTCCCACCCATTTATGAACTTGCTTTTCAGTCACCAGTTGATGTTTTTTGAGTGGTGATGCTAAATAACCATTGTCATTTTTTTATTACATTTGGTTGGGATATATCAGTATTTTAATCATAACATTTTTTCCATTTTTTTTTTTTTTTTTTTTTTTGTTACAATAGGCTGTACAAGGCCCAGGGGCCACTTGATGTAGATAGTTCTGTTAGGAGGGTAAGATAATGGTTTAACTCTAGCCTTGATCAGGTTAAGATTGTAGTGATCAGAGAAATATCTTTTTGGGAGTTGATTCCACAGGGCAGTGGTTCACGTGGAACTTACTTCTCGCCAATGGCAGACAGAGGGGATGTGGTTAGCTTGTTGCTATGCAATTGGCATGGTGTGTCTTTGTGTACAGGGTTGAGAACAAGATTACAACACTCTCACCACCAAAAAAAAAAATCACATTAAAACTTTGAAATATAAATTTAAATTAATTGTTTATATAATAACTATATGAATTGCTCTTATTAAAGATATCGACTTATCAGAAAGATTAGAAATTATTTGTTATTGGGTGAAAGTAGTTAAATCTATGTCTCTTTTCATGTAATTCAAGAAAGATCTTTGTGCATCTGTTTGCACCACAGAGGTTGAATAAATTTGGAATGCATTTTGATTTCTAATGCTGGAGCACTTACAGAAATTAGCTTTCTTTTTTTTCCAATAATTTATTTTATTGAATATTTATTTCATGGAATGTAAATGCATTGTTGGATATATTACATTCTTTTATTTTTACACTGATGGTAATACAAGGTAAATAATTACAGAGTAAGAAGCAAAGTTTATGTGGGAAATATAATGGTTGACCCTAAATAAACTTAGTGGATAAATTTGGTTCTAGCCAAATTATTGAAATCTTCAGGCTTTAGAAATCTTTTACATTGCTGTTAGTTTGTTAGGTTAAAGACTAGAATTCACAGCTGTTGATAAGGGGTGTTAATTTCTAAAATTTAGAAGACAAATTTAATTTTTCAGATTCCTTATAGAAAATCATTTAGTTTTCTGTTGAAATTATTTTACTCTCTTACCATATCAAAAGTAATATTTTTTTTCATAAAAATTTGTCCCTTTTCATCCCTCTCAAAGATTTTAAAATATTTTTGCATTTTCTTGCTGTGGTTTTTGCTGCATATCAGCAGGTAGTGTTCAGACAGTTGCATGTGTTTGATAAGCACACATTCCTAAATAATGTGACAGTCTTTTTGACACTCTTATGTGTGCACACATACACACACATATGAGTAAAGAAAAAACCTTACTATAACTATCAAACAGACTATAATAAGACTACACTATTATTAATGTTTATGATGTTAAATTCTTAATAAACTGGTTATTTTTTTAACTAACAATAATTCCTTATTTTAAACAAAAGTTAAATACTATTTCATGCCTAAGTTGATGGTTTATGTATCCATAAACTTTTAGTAACACTTCTGTATATTTTAAGCATTTTTCTTTTTTAATTTTTTGTTTTACTTAAATTGCTTTTGATTTGAAGACAAATCATTGACAGTTTTGAAATATTAGAAATTGCTTTAAAAATAGTTTAAATCTCTAATTCTCTTTATACAGATAATACATTATTTTCTCTACTTTTATATACTAATTTGCAAAAAAGCATTTTTTTTTTTAATTGAAATAAAGTGTCCAGCATAAGTAAAATGATTGCAAAATAATTTAAATTGGTTATGATAATATTAGCCATTTCCTTATATGGAAACATTTGGTATTCATTGACTGAGCACCTAGTGTTACTGCTGGTTGAAATTTATAAAATCTTTTAAAACAATTTTTCAGAAAAATAGGTTTCTCAAGTTCAGTTATTATTTTTCCTCTGCATTACATGTGCTATCCATTTTGTTGTTGAAAGCTCCCAAGTAATGTGGTTTCTGTTATCTGGTACATTTCTTTGTTTGTGGTTCTAACTGCCAGTTCACAAGGTTAAAAA